TGGGGCGTTGGGGGCGGATCAGCACCCCTGTCTTTGTCGTGGTGCAATGGCGGGGGGCTGAAGCAAACCTCGCTGGCCGAGGGGGCCTATGCGGGGATACTGGGGGCGCCGTCCAATGGGGTCCCCCCGCCGCCCCTCTTGCAGTGGGGCTCCTTTTGGGGCTTTATTTCTGACAAGGGGAGATGGACGTGCTTTCACGGGGAGGGGAGCTTTATGGCATAGCCTTTCCCCCAGTGCTCTGGGGCGCGAGCGTTGGGGAGGCCCCTAATTTGGGGTGAGCGGGGGGGGCATTTCCTCAGCATCTTTACTGTGAACCCTTTTTGGATGGGAGAACCTGCGGAGTTTCACAAAGTTTTCCCTAATGTAGTCTTGGGCACCTCCAGAGAAAGGGGGGGGTCGAGGTCCAGCTGTGCTCTTCCACCCCTGCGCTGTGGCTGTGCAGATGTACGCATCCAGGCGTTGTGGGAGCAGCCCGCAGCCCTTCCGCGCGTCTGCTCCCCAAGCAGCCTCTGCGTTTGGCCCCGCGTCCTAGTGACGGTGAGGAATTTTAGTGAAGTTTTTCACAAAGTAGGGTCCAAGGGGGAGGAAAGGATTAGATGGTTTGGGCTCTTTTTCTGAGTGAAAGCGGATGCTACCGAATGCCCAGTTGGCTGATTTAGTTCTGTGGAAGTGCGGGATGTTTAAAGCATCTGTGCTTTCCACAGTTCTGTGGTGGATCCCCGAAGAATGTGGTTTACCGTTTCAGCCATCTATGATTTAGAAAGAATGAGTTCGAAACTACGGTAAAATGTTTGGCTTCTGCCTTCTCTTTTCTCACAAGCACGTGCGTATACACGCACACACATCCTTCCCACATTTTTCAGGGGCTGCTGACAAAATAGAGCGTTTCTGGAGTGGCGGTGGGGAGGGAGAAGACACCATCCAGACATCACCGGGTGGTCTGGTATGGGATCCATATACAAATGGGAATGTGGACCTCTTGGCCTTATTAAATCTGCAGGAACAGGAATGGTATGAATTCTAGCTTGTTGTAGGAGTTTGCCTCTGTTTGTGACAACCATGCGCTGGACGAGGGGGGTTGATAGCTTTAAAACTTAGAGGGGGGTGATGAAGTTCTGAGGATTCCACCTGTGTTCTTTCTGCTCTGTGATGCTCCATTTGAGGCAGCAGTAAAAAGCAAGGTGAAAAATGTAAAAAAAATCTTTGCTGTATCTTGGCCCACAAGAAACAGAAGAATCCTCAATCTGTAGTTTGGGCTTCATTGTTAAGACTGAAAACGCTGCCTCTCAAGAGAGCGCAAACAATTCAGGTTCTCTAGAAGATGAGGCGGTTCTGCGCCTGGTTCTCCTGGGTGGCTTTTCCGAACAGTTAAAAAATTGATCTGTAAATGCAAGAGTTCTGGCATATCTCTTGATCGGGATAGTTTTGTGAGATGCTTGAACTGTTCTGTCAACATGCATCCTGAAGGCCTCTTTCTTACAAGCGTGATCAAGTCAAACGGAGTCCAAGTATTAATTATTACTTTGCTTTAGGTTATGCATATCCCACACTCTGTTTGGCTTGATTGCTTCATGTTTCACTTCTGTTGTGTGAACCTCTGTCTCTGCTTCTCCCAATAATTCAAGCCAAAAGCTCTTGAGAAATTGTTTCTTTCATTCTGAGGCAGCAATCGCATTAATTTATCTCCCCCCCCCCTCGTTTCAAGTAAATGACTTCCTGCTGCTTAAGAAAATTGCTCTGTACAGTACTGCATAATGTCACTTTTCTATCTTTGTATTGACTAAAAATGGACAAGGTGATTTACTCTACATTTTAGCACAGATCAATAAATGAGATAAAATACAGTATTGGTATGAGAGCCTCAAATGTTGGGAACTGGAGAAAGTCCAGCCTAAAGTCAAGGCATTTCCTAACTTGTCAGGTGAAAAAATGCTAGTCAGGAGAGCTAAGAAAAATTGCTTTGGGCAGATCTGGAATTTTTCTGATAATGCAAACTTCAAGGTACACCTGTACAGGTCCACATATCCTGGCTGTTTTTGCACTGAAAAAATGAAAGTCAACAACTGCATTTTCAGGGTTTTGTCTGTATTTGGTTCTTTTCACAAGAACTAGGTCAGAACTGCTTAATATTAATACTGACAAACTGCCTGTGCCTTATAAAAGAATAATCTTTGAGCAGTCAGTCTCTGTAATGGGAAAGTATGTTTCTCCATCATTTTTTTAAAATGCATAACATTGTACATACCTATCAGATATGTTTCTAAGTTGGAGAAATGAACAGTATGTTTTTGAAAGGACACTATATTGAAAGACCACACTGGAAAAGACTGGAAGCAATTAACTATTATTTTGAAAAGTCTGTCTTTTGTATCTTGAACTTTCAAATTAATAAAAACAAGTAATTGAACTTTCAATTACTAAAACAATTGTTTTGAGGAAGACATTTGAAGGCAACTCTAAAGCGCTGTATGGCCTTGAGCAGCTGGTTAACAGCTTCTTACTCTGGAGCAAACCCCCACCCGCAGCCAGCAGTATTCTGAATTGATTATCTGAATCTTTAGATTGCAGGTTTTAACACCTATTGATTTCAAAAGGAGAAATCCACACTTATTTACAAATGTCATCTGCAGACTGCAAACCAAATGTTGCTTTCATGATATAAAATGATTTTAACGTCTTAGTTGTATAATAGTTAGATTTGTAATGAAAAAGCATGTAGCAAAGTGAATGTTTTTTGAGTAATACAAGGAATGGTTTGTTAGTGTTGGATTTGTG